TCATAGTTTATTGTCGTAGGAAGTATTCCAATTCATTTGCACCAGCATTTTTGAGTGACATATATAAAACGAATAAATTTTGGGATCCTCCTGAGAAGGTAAATCTCTGCAAAGATATGATTTTTCAATAGTTGTTTACACATAATGAAAACATAACAATATTAATCTATAAAAAAGGATCGATAAAATGACTAAAATTCGAGAAAAAGGAAAAAAGGAACATTTCCGTTTCATAAATTGAAGGGCATACAAGTCGTAAATACCCAAAAAAACACTCAATTCTGTTTAGCATTCTCAAATTCAAAAAAATACGTCGATTTGATTACAGAAAAAGGAAACCGCTATTCTATTCGAGCACAAAATCCCTTAAATGAACTTCAAGAGATTATTCAAATAAAGCGTTATTGAATGAGGTGTATCGTATTACAAAGAGTGTGGAAATAAGCAAGATGAGTATAGGAGCATATATACGAGATAAGAAGTGGTCTATCTGATAAGCTTATGTCAGAATAGCGCCAGAATTACTAAAACAAGTTCGAAATAAAAGCTATAGTAGATTACTGCTTGCTGTCTACCCTGTGCTACGGTTGTATTTCGGAACGTGCGATGATCGATAGCGCTACCTTGACCTATAAATCGGGAACATTTGAGTTTCTCATAGCGAACAGTTTAGGTCGCTTCCATTCTCAATGGAAGTTCGACATCTTTTCAACTGATAGCAAGAACGCTAAAATACTAAGAAAGTAGTATGAGCCTGTTTAGCTCGCATTAGGCCATTCAGTGAAAGATGCAAGCGAAGATGATGTCCAGAAAAAGCAAATTCTCTCTTGTTTCGGAATATTTGATGAAGATAGTATATTTACTTCATAGTACCTCTCTCATGAAGAAAAAATGTCCCCATTTGTGTAAATTCGATACTGTTACGAAAATGACTGCATCCCGAACAAAGAAGGACGACTTATTAAAGCTCGCCATATGATAGGGATGGTTTTCTGTGTGAACACCTGACCCTTGACTCCCATAACGTAAATCTCGGCTATCAGATTTCACGAGATTGACTTCCATGGACGACCAAAAGCAAATACATGAGATCTCAGACAGCTACAAAATAGAATTCGCTATTACCATGAAGGAAAAGCCTAACTTTAAGCTAATTTAATCAGTGACAGAATAATGCATTGACGTGATAAGTTTGCGTTAACATATACATTACTCATCTGCTTCCTAATTTAAGCTAACGCACCACTTTTCTTGAGTTACGTCAAAATAATAAAGAGATATTTTATATTTTCAAACACAATCAAAGTACGAATACCCCTCTCCATACTTAGCGCAGACGACTATGGAAGCATCAACAATTTCATCAAGTACGAACATTACAATGTAGTTTCAAAATACCAATCTTCAATGAAATATACATGATTCACAATGCAGATCACTCAAAGGGTTGGACAATCGAACTCTCTAGACCTATTCATATTGCTATGTTCTTTGACAAGAGTATCAAGATTAATAAGAAACCAACCAAACAAATGTACACAGATAAGAAAATTCCAAGACGCGATAATAGGTAGTGAACGATAGCCGTAGAAAATAAGTATCAAATTACCACTAGGTAGCTTCTAACACAAAGCTCGTCAACTTTATCAGGGACAAACATTTGGGGGAAGTGAAACATAGGAAAACAACTTCAAAACAGTGCAAACTGAACACAATTCATTCTTCTTCAATATCTTCGCAATCAATGAGGAACAAGTCACAATCTAACACTCGCTTTTTCCTTGTCGCCCAAAACCTACGAAGACTTTAATATAGAAAGAGACCAGCAAAATACCACAACTTACTTGATGGTTTTATCCGCAGTGAGCTGAGCACTAAGTATGCTTTCTATCCTTTCATGAGGAGCTAGCACCTAAAAATAACGTAATCAAATCAAGTCACCTTGAAAAGAAAAGTCTTTACTGGGATTGAGTTTCGACAAGAAAGCCTGAAGAATCTCTCGTTTCCCACTTGAACCCGCTGCACATTACCAGCAACTCTTAAATCGCAGTAGACGCGAAACTGAAGAAAAAAGAATTTTAAACAATTTTAATTTCTGAAAACAGCTTAAAATTGGTCAGGATACAACATTTACGTCAAAAGTTTTATGACACACTCTCAGTAAAATCCTTTCTATAGAACTCATTGACGTGAAATCAACTATATTCAACGTTGAGAAGAAAATTATCGACATATGTTTCAAGTGTACAAAATAACCTGAAATAATCCGTAAATTTCTCGCTGCTCCCAGTTATCGATAGGCGGCGCCTGTTGGGGTGTGATACAAATTTCAACCGCTATATGCGAGAAATGTGGGATCCGAAAATCATCGTATTCTCTT